CCAGAGTTCTTGTCCGGTTTCTCTCTCCTTACTAAAAATCCGAAGAACATTTTGTAGCTTGCGTAGAGCCAAGGTGATAGCCCGAACCGCGAATAAAGTAATTATGTCCGTATTTTGATTTAGACATCTTGTCAAGATTTTCTTTGTTAGTGGTCGAGGAAGTATGCTTTCGATCGCAACGGTCACTGGCGGAGGGATGAGTACTGTTTTGCCCTTCCATCCGCAATTTGTAGGCACTGGAAGTTGGATTGTAGAGAAAAGAAAAGCGGACTCTCCTAGCCAGCTCGGGGTAGGTTTAGGGTCAGACGTGAACATGGTTCGCTTCGAGAAGAAGTCAAATACCAGCTCGGGTACAGCTCTGAAGATCTTCAGTAGAAGTTCCATTTGCAAGGTATCTGAATCCGGGCGAAGAAGCTGTATTAATGCCGATAGATTTCCGTTGCGAACTGGAACTGACTCCTTATATTTATCGAAGTGGGCGGGAGAGTCGAGCCCGAGGGGAATTGCACCATCGTCGTTCGGCGGCAACACATCAGGGTTGCTTCCAGTAGGATACCATCCCGTTTCCGGTAGTAATACTCCTTTCTCTGAGTTCGTGCAAACTTCCAACAACAGTTTATGAATCTCGTTTGACACAGATTCCTCGTTTACCACAGGCTCGTGGGATTCCTTCTCATACCCATAAAGAGTGACGAGTCGTTCAAGGTTATGACGGTTTAGGAATCGGCTTTTAACGTTCCGCGAAAGTGATGCATCACTAGCAATATGCTTATCAATAGCGCGTATAACAGCGATAACAATGTCTCGAGAATCTTTGCGGATGTCTTCCAAGAAAGCACGGATAAGTTTCCCTTGACCGATGATGTCCTCTTTAGCAGTGGCGTTTTGGAAATTCAAGTTAGCGAGCAGGTAACGCTGAGCGTTTCGACGGAGTCCTGACTTTTGTTGACCTTCAGACTCTGCCTCTGCAGTAGATTTGCGGACACTGAGGAAGATGTCAAGTCGCTTAAATGTGATTTCTCGCCTTCCATAAACAAGGCGTGCAACGGCACCCCCATCAAAGCTCACAAGTTCTGTAAGAAGGCGTAAGCAGGGAGAAATCAAATGTTCCTTGGTCTTGCTCGCGGTAAATGCGCGATTGAAGAGCTTGAGCTGCTCCTTTTGTAACAAAAATTTGCACAAGACCAACCCGAAATCTCGAAACTCTAACTGGCTAGAAATCGTCTTCAGGAAAAGCGCCAGCACAGACGGAATCAATGAGAGTAAGGACTCTTGATTTTCAGTCTCTGCAAAATTCCATGTTTGAAGTAGATCATGGAAGCAACTTGCTTGGGTTTCATCGCCCGCGTTGACGAGCTGAGAATCGCAATAAGCTTTGAGAACGCGGAGCTTTTTCGCCTTTTCGTTCTCTTTTTCAGCTTCCTTGATTGAAGTGAGGAAGTCCTTGAAATACCGAACACCTATTTGGAAAATCAGAGATTTGGTCGTCGTCATGAAATATGATAAAAATATTTGGAAAGAAAAGGATAAAGTAGCCATTGCATGCATTCTACATACCCTGTTTCACTTCCTGTGAAGCACTCTGCTGGAAGGCAAGAAGGTTGCGCAGTTGTGTGTGAGAGGTGATTGTCACAGCTGGCATCTGTGTACCAGTAGAGCCAGCATCAATTTTCCTCCTCTTCGTGCGCGAGGCGTCTTCATGGAAATGTGCCATGGTTGAGCGTTGCTGAAATTGTAGCTGTTCTGGTCAAGAGGAACAAATATGCTGGCGGGATTTTGCTTTTCATATTAACTAAATTTCATCGCGCGTTGTGATTGGTCGCTGGGCAAGCTTCCTTCAAGAAGTTCGTCCCGTCCTGTTAACCACCACTCTACGCTTGAAGTCAATGATAGACTAAGAATTTAAAATGTGTAGGAATCGGAAGAGGATTATTTGACTATTTTACGTTGATTCATATCTCATCCTCGGATTGCAATCCTCCGAGAAAATATCTTACAATGAGGTATCTGTAGCTTGCGGATTGCCCTTCCTTCTCCAGGAGGGGGCTTGTTAGAATATCAATTTCACTCAAACCACTATGTATCTATGACTTAATCCCTTTAGTCTTCCCCTTCACCCTCTCCACCAGTTTGTTCAAATCATCGGCGTCAGCTACACTCTCAACATTCCTAGAATCAGTGCCTTTCCTTCTCTTCTTCCCGGGCTCAGGCAGTCCCCGATCCGCAACAATATCATCATCCTTATTCCGTCGCCTTTTCCGCCCCTCCTCCAATAACGCCTTCATGCCCTCAGTTGCCTTGAACCGCGGATTCGAAGGATCAATGGCAAACTCATGATTCTCCCAAAGCCGTTGGAATCGCTCATCCTTGACGTCCACCTTGAAATTATCCGGGGGTGGTTCAACAGCGTCACTCTTCTTTCCCTTCTTCTTTCCTGCTTTCCGTGCTCGTTTCTCTGCTTTCTCAATATCTTTCATATCAAAATGTTTAACATGCGAAGTCTTGTCGTCGACCATGAGTAGCTCCAGTTCAGCGCGCTTCGCAGCGGTGGCGGCTTCATCTGCTTCCCGCTCTTCGCGTTTCTTTCGTCTTTCCTCTCTGCGTCTCGCCGTTGCAGCTGCTGCGTCCTGCTCAGGAGCAGTGAAGAACGGATCATCGAAGCCCAAGTCTTCCTTTTCACCCTTCGAGTCTTCAGGAGCCTTGTCTTCGGCTTCGCCATCCACGAGCAGTGGTTCACCATTTCTAGCGGCCTTCATTCTAGCTTTTCGTCTCGCTTTCCGTTCCCTCTCTTTCCGTATATATTTTTCTGCTGTCGTCTCTTCCTTTTCTGGTTCGTTCTCAAATACGTTCCCACCAGATGCTCCTGTAGAAAGGCCCGCCGAGAACGTTATTTCCATATCGCCGACCGGCCCTTTACTCCTAGATTCAGTTGTAGACTTATCCTTATTGAAGCCAAGCAAAGCTCGGATCTTCTCTCGCGCAGCCTCCTTTTTGCTTAGTTTAACGGGGGCGGTGGTCACAATGGCGCCGTCTCCCGCTGTAGCATCGACAACTTCCACTCCGCCATTCTCATCACCCCCGTCATCAGAGCTATCGCTGCCCAAGTATGCTTTGAGGTCATTCTCGTCAATCTCTTTCCTACCACCTTTGAACGCTCTTGCTTGTGCTTCCTTCCGACTCGTATCATCCGCGTCCCACGTAAGCCTGACTTTACTATGCTGCAAGGCATCAGTAACAAAGTCGCTAGGCTTGTATCCGTCGGGAATCCTGTCGCATTCGTCTCTTGGGGTATCATTTGAGAAATCTGTTTCGTCAGGGACGAATCTCAGATCGAAAAAGTTTGCGCTGCTCATATACTCAGTCCCGTCTACAGCGTCATAGATGTGTTTGGCAACTGCTTCAGACGAGCAGATCAAAATGGCGTAGAAGTACCGGAGCCTTTCAAGCTGGTACTTGCGTAGATGTGCGGAATCAAACTCGTCCCCCTGATCTTCCTTAATGATAGATTGTTTGATTTTCTCTTCCTCCTCTTCCTCATCCTCCTCTTCACTCTCAAGATCACTATCCTCTAGATCGCTTTCTTCATCCTTCTTCTTCTTTGAAGCAAAAATTTCCTTCGGTGGCCCCTCCATTTCCTCCCTCTCCATCCTCTCCCGCCCAAATTCACTAGGATATATCGAAACCTTGTGGATACTCCCTCCAGGTGGTAAAAAGCTCGAAAAGACGGCCATTAAATCTTGCGCGCGAATATTATCCCAATCCAGATTAACGACCGCAATCCGCCGACTGACATCACCAAGTGGTACATCGCTTTGCTGTTGATTGGGAAACTGTACTTCCTCCACGTCCTCCTCAACATACTCATCCTCTTCCTCACTCGAGCTCTCATCCGAAGAGGACTCGGAGAATCCTCCATCTCTTGCGGGATCGTAGCCCCGTTTGTCTGCCTTGCGCAGTTCCTTTTCTACCACCGCATCATCGTCCACACTTATATTATCATCGTTTTCATTTTCTTCTTCTTTTTCCGCGTCTTCTTCCTGCTCTTCTTTGCCTTCATCCTCCCCGTCCTCATCAAGTCTGTAGAATCTCTCCAGCTGCTTTTTCGTATCATCCCTCCGTAACTTCCTACCGTACCGGTCGACAGCGGCATTTTTCGAAAAGTCTTCATCGCGCAGCATGTGCGCGAATCGCTTATCCAATTTGACATGAGTATGTCTCTTGCTGGGCAGCCTGTATCGGGGATCGGATTGGATGTTGGCGAATCGTGGATCCGCTGTAATGTCCAAGAATGTGTTAGTATGAAGGGTACATAGAACAGGATTTTCTGCACCCCTCGTTCTACCAGTAGCAGTAAAAAGGAGGTAGGTACTATAGTAACATACTTATAACTGGTCCAGTTCCATGGTTTCCCGCTGATCGTGATTTTGCCCGCTTGGGTTTCTCATTCTTCCCCGAGTCGGCCATGGCGAGATGGCTTCAACCAGCAAGGATATTCGTTATAGAACGGGCGCTCTTTTTTTAAAAGAAAGTCGTTCAGCGTTGATGGGAAATGTTAATGTGGAAGACACATGGGTTATATATACCCTTGTAGCTGCTTCCTAATAGCTATTAAATGGTCTCAAAATTTTGTGTTCGTCGCGGGTCCTCAAGCTTGAACAAATTCTTTTTTGATTTGTTTGATGCTGGTGGAGGTGGTCCGTGCATTGGCTTTTTTTAATCTCCTATCTCCGCACCAGCGAGATCCGTCTCGCATTCGGGAATGAAATTATGTATGTACTTCATACAAGAGATCACTACCGTTATAGAAAGCTAAGGGATATAACTATTTATGGACATGACATCTCAAACACCACCTGACTCTAGCAATCATTTCCAATAATGATCCAAGGGAAGGTAGAATAAATAGTTCAGACGGAAAAGAAGGGACAAGGATATGTATGATACATGCACGATTCGCTACAAATCGGAACAAAAGTAAGCGAAATGGGTATCTCAATCACCTAACACCCGAAATAACGCTTCTCAATCCATCTCGATTCCCCTTCGTCTTCTATCCGACCCACCACAACTTTGACGTCGGGATAGACGGCGGTTAATCTCTGCAAACCGCGTTTCCCTGCGGCGAAGGTTACAAACACGATACGCCCTTCATCTACCCCATGGTCGACGAGGACTCGCACCGCCATCAATGCAGCTCCACCACTTGACATTTGTGGATCAAGCAATATGACAGAGGCGTGCTCATTGATATTCCGGGGTAGTTTCAGAAAATGCAGTTCAGGCTCCCCTGTCCGGTAATTTGTTTGAATGAGAACCCGGCCAGTAATACAGTCTGGAATCGTTCGTTTCAGGCCCGTTTCCAGACAAGAACCACCGCGAAGGATAGCAACGGCGGATACTGTACCTGCAGGTCGCAGGCCATGATAGATATATTGCTCAGGTGTGGTCACCGTGGCGGGGACGAATGGGATGGTATCCAGCGCGCTATCTTATCTCTTAGCTCTTACGGCTGCTTCTTAATGTATAAAATAGGGAAAGGTATGGAAACACAAGACGTACCGTTCTATCATGAGGCATGCTAGCCGGTCAAAGTAGAACACAAAATCAACCTGCTCTGTATGAGGATTTTGTAAAATGGTGTTTATACCCACCAACTGGGGGGTCTGCTCCATGACGATAACATTCGCGGATAGGGGTTTCTCTTCAACTTGCTGGCCCAGCCTTTGTAGCTCAAGATAATGGGCTTCAGATTTCTCTCGAAGGATTCGCTGGATGTGCTTAACCACCATATCTGATTTCGTCAATTCGGGTGCTCGGATGAACAGCTGAACAGTCATGGCGCATACCTATGGCAGTTCTGTTTTCGATGCCTCGGGGAATTATTATGTCTTTACAACCAGTCAACAGCGAACGTTTTGCCTTGTTAAGGGGGATAAATACCGGATATGTGGCGTTGAGGTTCCACAAATCTTGTGTACGATGGCTTTACAAATTTGAACCATTGCTTGATGACGCCGTCTATCGTCCGTCCTCTATCTCGGACGTCTCGCAGAACTTGTAGTAGGTGTTTCTATTAGTCGAATAATCTTCCCGAATCAAAGAAACATACGTGCAAGCTATTGCAGGGGTTCTTACTTCTTCTCCCGAGGCAAACGTCCATATCAGCTTCCACGAAAATCTAATGCTGTTAGCTAGAGAGGGCACAGTTTTACGAGGTCTTGCTACATGCCTTGACATCCATCATGTCTGCTACTCTTGGGTCCGTAAAAGCCAGTATTCCTTCGAGGATGACAACATGCGGGGAGTATAGAGAGATCGTCTTCTCTTCCCGCTGATGTTTCTCGAAGGAATAGATAGGTATTTCTACCTTCCGACTACACCGCAATGAACTAATTAGCAAGGATCTACAGGCATAAGCCTCACTAGAATCTGTTGCCAGATCTTACCCCTTCTTGAGGGAATGGAGCGTATCCACGAGGACGTCAAAATCGATTGCGTCCGGCGAATCGAAATCATACTCATTTTCATGCGCAATTGCATTTTGCTCGGGGGTAAGAGTTTTATAAAACGAGTCCTTTTATAAGTAATCCCAAATTAGTCCTTCCAGCCGCCCGAGATCATGTATCCCATCAATACTAAATACCATGACGAGAATCACCACCCACGGCAAGTTCAACAAATTGATGATTTCCATTGCAACCGAAGATTTGCCCGAGCCTGAGCCGCCAGCAATTCCAATAATAGTCATATCCGCCCATGGCGGGGAGTATCGGGCTCGGGGTTCCACCATGGCGAGTATGTAAACGACTAAACGGCGTGAGACTGTGAAACTACCACGAGACCCTGGTCATGGGTCGAAAAGTCGAAAAGTACGCCGTGAGATGGAAAGTGAGATAAACAAGACGCTCTAGTTTCCCGGTGTCATGACATAGAATAAGAATAAGACAACAATGAGTATGTATATATGGGGAGTCCGCAAAATTATTTCATCCTGTCCAGGCTCTATCGGCCATCACCAAGCCAGCAATCTTAACATCGTTGTGTGCTGAGATTGTGCGTGTAAAGTTATTATTAACCTTGGGAAGTGGAGAGCAGGGGCTCACGTGCCGATATATCACATGAGCGCCAAGATAGGCTAGGCGCGTGCTGAGTCAGAAGCGGAGCCTCGCACTACCCTTTTCTGCATCTTTTTTTCTTCATCCAACTTCATTCTTTCTTTCTCCTCTCTTGCTTGTCCCCAGCAGATCATAACTCTCCAGCAGCCTGTCATCTCGCCCCATGGCTTGCGAGCTGAAGGGTTCCTCGTTCTCATCTTGAGTCTACCATTTTCCTGCTTTCTGCTTGCTGTAAGCTGGGAATACCAAAAATAGCCATAATCATGACGTCTGCCAACTTAGTATGTGGCATCCCCGTCGGCTTTCTTGCAGCACCGTGGGAATACTGAACGTTCCAGATGTCTCCAACCCCTTCTACTACCACGCCAACATGGCATCATTTCGAAAAGAAGGTCGAGGACGTGAAGCCATCAAAGACGTAAGTCCATATTCCTATGTTTTTGCCCGTGTTGCTTTGCTATTATGATGTGTTTACACAATCAAGTTGGGAATCTCTCTGAAAACACTTGAAGAGAATATGTTAACTTGTCCTTCTGATCTGCAAATAATACCTTTCGTATTGCCCTATGCAACCTGTTCCAAATACCGTGGATATTGGCTAACTGGTGGATTGTAAAGTGATATCAATTTCCTTGTGATGGATTATCTGGTCGCAAATGGCTACCCATCCGCGGCACAAAAGTTTGCTATAGAGGCTAATATCCAACCAAAGCCTGACGTGGAGTCAATCCAAGAACGGGTGGATATTCGAAATGCTATTCACTCGGGAGATATTCAGTCCGCTATCGAGAAATTAAACGAGTTGAACCCGCAGGTACTACTTACACTTTTCCTTCTTTGTCGCTATTCTGTCCTTGTATATTTGAACATATATATTTCCTTGCTATGATTAAATTTGTTTCATGCACCACTCATATTACCTCCTCGGTGTTGATGATAAAAACTCATCTTCAGTCCTCAGTATGACCAGCAATCACTTAATGTTGTATAAAACCCTTTCATTGTCATAGATTTTCAAGTTTCTTGCTAACAGCCCATTTGCAGATTCTGGATAGTGATCCTTCTCTTCACTTTTCCCTTCTACGATTACAGCTCGTTGAATTGATACGGACCAGTACATCCACCCCAAATGGAGATATTACTCCTGCTCTGGACTTTGCTACGTCCCACCTCGCCCCTCGCGCACCCACTAACCCACAGTTCCTTGAGGATCTTGAAAGGACGCTGTCTCTCCTGATATTTCCATCTGATAATCTTGCCCCTTCGTTAGCTGCGCTGCTGGATCCAGAACTCCGGAAAAACATCGCAAACCATGTAAATGAAGCCATTCTACACAGCCAAGGCGCGAGGCGTGAGGCGCGCCTACGTAACCTTGTCAAGCTTCGATCCTGGGCTGAGCAAAAGGCACGTGAGGCAAAGAAAGACTTACCTGAAAAAATCGACATTGGCCTCGAGCAAGACAGGAACGACAGTAATGACAGTAGCCAAAGCGAAAACCAAAACGGTAGCACTGATGATGCCATCATGCATGAGCAGGGAGAGGTGGATCCAATGATATCATAGCATATGCGGTCGATGCGTTAATACTAACTCGCAGCAGCATCTATTCCCGAACAACCAAATAAGTGGAACAAGGACACCTGCTTGGTTGTTATCCGCTACGATGCGTCCTATATATCTTCTTATTTTTCTTCCGACTTCTATACTTTAGCGTGGCGTTTGGAGTCCCTTCATACATGGTGCCGGTTACCATTCGTTCCAAGGGCCGGCGATTTGGCCTATGAAGCCTTCCCGAATTCGAATTACATCCGTGTTCGAATTATCTAGAGTTCATCCAGTCTCTGTATGAAATGAACGAAACCTGTTGGGAAGGTGATGGCGGAGCAATTGTGTTTTCACTTTTATTTTTCTTTGCTTTCGTACTTGACCTTTTAATGAGACATGTGCACTTCCTATTTCACCATTTTTCATATTTGTGCAACAGCGAATGCGTCCCATTCAGTGTAAAGTTACAACTTCCTTTAACTATATTTACTCCCTACACTAAAGCCACCCAGCCTATATAGACCGCCTATATGAAACCCTCCGTTTTCTATATCGATATTTATACAAGGTCAATTAACCTGCACTTGTCCTTTGCAACCTTGGAATCTTGAAATTGTATATCAAATCTAGGTGATAATAACCACCTTGAGCAAGGAGGAGCCACCCATCCAATACAAAAGCCTGAATCCATAAAAACACCATCCCGAAAGCAAACAAATGAAACCGCCGAAGAAAGAGTGAGCTGAGGTGATGAGTATGTATTTGAAAAAAAAGAAAAAGAAAAAGAAAAAGAAAAAGAAAAAGGAGACGAGTGTTTCCCAAAAAGAAGTATTTCGTCGGTGATCGGAGTCCTGTCGACCGCCGTTGAAATTTAGAGGAAAATAGTTGTTTTGTGTAAAGATGCGGCAAATGGGTTGCCCTCTGCCCGGCCTCCAACTTGGAAACCATCTAGCTGAAAGAGATGGTGAATAATTTGGTATGTAAATGGGCAGGGTATCGTTTTGCGTCTATGGAAATGGACCTCTAACGGCCGGGTCTTTTTATCTTCGCTTGGAGGAAAGATACGAAAAATATTCGCTCTAACGGGGTATATATCATGCTTTTGTTAGAAGCTCGTCATATCTGAATCGATGTGTGAGTTAGCTAGGTGAAGTTCCACAAGGTCTTTTTTTCTTGGCAGTGGTAGGCCATTTCCAAATTCAATAGATGGCATATTCTAAACACGGAAAGGACGGAGAACCGGCCCCTTAAAATATAGGGTGAATGCTGTTTTAACATACCTCTTCCAAACATGGCTCTCTTCGTCCAATCCATCGCCAGCAAAATTCTAGTTCGCAAACTGACGCTCTGCGCAAAATATATACTTCGCCAAAGATACACCGCCAGCAACCCACCTCCCCAGCTCATACCATTGAAGTCGAAAATAGCGGCATTGCCAATATATGCCAGACTACCAAGATGTTTGTACCGGAACGCTTTGTAGACCGCTTCGTCCAAGTCGCCATAGTCTACCTCATTCGCCTTCATGCCAGGCATGGCCTGCGAAATCTTATTGAACTTGAGTCCCAGATACTTTCCCTGCTGATTCGCTCTTTGCGCCGTTGCAGGTAACGATGTCAGCTTGGAGTCGATTTGGAGGAGCAGTTCTCGCAGCTCGTCGAAATCGAGGGTACCGCTGCGGTCTGTGTCGTATTGTTCGAAGAGCCTATCCAGGCGGCGTAAATGGCCGGATGCCTGTGGGAACCGCCTCTTCACACGCTGGGCTACGTTCCGCCATTCTGCAAAGGTGAGGTGAACCTTTTCTGGATCTTTGCTCTTTTCCCAGGCAATGGTGCGAAGGAAGGTTACGATATGGTCTGCCACGTTGTTTTGGACGCTAGAGCAGTCTCCGATGGCATATACGTCGCCCATTGGAGTTCCGTTCACACGAAGATGAGAATCCGTTAGAAGAGTAAGTTTGTTAGTCTGCGCACCGAGTTTCTGGGCGAGTCGTTTGCAGAATGCGTTTTGGGCTGCAGTATTATTCGGATGTTAGAGAGGAAAAAATGCTGGGGGTATCTAGGAGGGGCATTCTACTGACAAACTCCTGTTGACCACAAACAGAAACCCATGGGAATCTCTTTTAGGATCGGCTTTCCATCTTCCATCTGTGTGAAGAGGATCTTGTCTTTTTTCACTTCCTTGACCCGAGAGTTTGTAAGGACATCGACTTGATCGTTTGCAAACCGTCGCTACCAAAGTCAGCACACAATAAAACTAAGTATTCCCGAGCAGCCAGACATACCTCTGCATACTCAGATAGAGTTTGATCATACGTATTGAGAATATGAGAACGGCTGATAAAATGCGTCAACAATCATAATCATGCTGGTTTAGCAGATAGCGAAAATACCTTTGAATAAGATGCACGGAGATTTCGTTCCTCAGTATCCGGGGAAAGGAACGGAGTAAATCTTCATTGAGCATATCAAAAATCTCGGCGGCAAATTCCACTCCTGTCGGCCCTCCGCCACAGATCACGAATGAGAGCAGCCTTCTCCGCTCCTCATCACTCGTTGTAGGGAGACAGGCAAGTTCTAAATTGTCTAGGACCTTGTTTTTGATCTTCCTCGCATCATCAATGGATTTCAGGAAATTGCAGTGTTCAAGGCCCTTTACTCCATGTGGATTTGTCGTCGAGCCTTGGTACTCCGTCAATAACGATCTAAGATAAGGGGTACGACGAACCGGGTCATTGCAGAAGTTAACCTACCAACACCAATTACCAATTTATCATAAGGCAAATAAAAACGCCGTTCCTGCCCATTGCTGTCTAGCTGCGATACTTCCACAAGTTTTTCTGAGAAATCAACATCCACTGCCTGTGCGCGGAGAAAATGGCCTCGAACTCGTTGCACAATGGTTCTGACCGGTTCGACCAAAGACCTCAGGCCAAGTGTCCCAACAGTCGCAGATGGCAGCATGGGAGTGAAAAGAAAATAACTTTCAGGTGAGACCACCGTGACATGATAATCACCCGGTCGTAGAGTCTTTAGCAATGACACACTTCCCCAACCCGTTCCTAGTATGACTAGTTTCGGCTTATCCCATTGTTCCCTCATGGATTCTGAATCATGGTCATCAATCAGTACGTCGGCGATTGGGAGGTTCTTCGGTCCACCCCGACGAGGAATCAACGCCAATTCCGATACGGGCACATCCTGGAAGGTCAAATCATGACGGTAGGTAGTAGCGTCGTAGACGAAAAACCCAACAAGAAGAACGCCCCCAATAACGACAAAAATGCCACAATATGCGAACAGATTGTATATAATCCTCACTGTCGTGCTTCTCTGTTTCAAGGGAGGTTGGGTGCGGCCCAGGCGAATTGACCTTTGCGGTTGAGGGCAGAAGTTAAGTTGAACCTTCGTTGACAGTGGAGGGAGGGAGGGCCGGCGCGGAGTGTGGAAGCATCGTTGAGATATAGACGTTGTAGTGCCCAGTGGTCGCGCCGGAAATCTGCGATGTTGTAAACATGCTTTGGAACTACCGTGGGTCAGCGGGCGCAGTAATCGCGTTCGTGCCTGGAGAGACAGCATGGGGGCAGAAACCAGCTAGGTGGTGTATTCATATAATACATGAACAATCCATCGAAATATGGGTGGGTGGTGTACGGGGATAAAAAGCAGATGGATATCCAGAGGTATCTCTATCCTTTGGTGTCGATCAGATTGGCGGGATGAGTTGGCAAACCAACCGGTCGGTCCAGGGGTTGCGGCAGCCGGCAGGACACGTGACGTCACCGCCAGCCATGGCGCCTCGATTCCCATAAACAGATTCAAGTTAATGACTTAGAGATCTCTCATATTTTGATTATCTCATCTATGATATGTTAACCTATATGTCCATGCATGATAACAAAATAAGCGAAGCCCCAGCGCAGTCGCTAAAAACTAATGTGTTAAAAAAGAGAATAATAATAATAATAATAATACAAGCCCCTTGTAAATTGCCGAAACGCCGTATAAGACGAAGCAATTAAGCATCGAGCCGTCCTTCCCACCAGCCTTGAGAAAATATCTTTTGAATAATAATACTAATAATATATGAATGTAAACATAGGTCATCGAGTTCCCGCGTTTCAACGCCCCAACAGCGTCTAAAATAAAACGCCAGCTACCGAAACAATGAGCTCTTCAGTCGCTTGCCAGCTCATCTTCGAGGTCTGTGCTGGTTCTCTTCTTGCCAGGAGGCCTGCCTCTTGCTTTCTTCTTGGGAGTGCCACCCGCGGGAACAGAGCTCTTGCGTTTGCCCGGTTTTGAATTGCCTGCGGCTGCGAGGAGGAGGCTCATATCATCAACGTCTCCGGTGGTGTCATGGCTGTCCCGATCATCGTCTCCAGCGATTTTAAGTTCATCGTCGATCGATAGCAACAATGCAAAATCCCGACATGTGTCCATCATTGCTTCCGTGGTGTCAAGGCAGTGCATGAGATTGGACACAGCCTCCCAAAACCGCTCACCAGTGACGCCCTGGACTTTTGCCGGTGCCCGATTAAGTTCCTTGGCATTTCCCTTCCCTTCCTTTTGTCGTGCGTGAAAATTAATGCCATAAAGGCGACGGAGGTGCGATCGAGCTTCCCAGAGCATCAAGAGCGAGCCAGAGGCAGTAGCCAGCTTTCTCAACAATTGAGCATCAACTGACCCGCGAACGGCTAAATCTTGAGGGGTAGTAGGGACGATAGGAGCCTCGCCGGAGATAGTCAGCCCATCCGTAGCCTGTGTTTCTGCTGTGTTTGAATTGCCATTGATTGGCTGCATGGTGTTTTGAAACAAATCTGTTTCGATTGCATGAGCTACAATAGTGCCTGTTGCGGCCACAATACGCTCAATGCAAGCAATTGTGGGGAGGATTTCCGCAATTTGCGCATACTCAAAGAAGGCAATGTTTTGAGAAACGAATCTAGATAGGAGCAAGTGTTCCGGTGGATCCTTCGAAACGTCCAGTTTGCGAAACTCAAAGTCAACTTTTGAGCAAAGATTGGTTAGGAATTTCCTCTGGTATTTGCTATTGCTAACTTTGATAATATCGAAAAGGGGCGCGAGTTTCGAAGTATATGGACGACTGAAAGCTCCGCTCGGATCCCCAACAACATCCCGCTGGTAATAAAATGCATCTTGAACTGCCCTCATATACTCTCGATCAAACATAGATTCATGTTGTTCGTGCAGCATTTTATGGGTTTCAAAAGCTATTTTGCTGACTGTTGGATGTGGCGACGTTTCCAGTGCGACCAATACACCAGCACATTCCTTTGGGTGGATAAGGCCCTGGCGATTAATACTTGCGATCAACTCAATCGCCGTCAATGCATAGGTGTCTTGCTTTGAAAGAGCTGCGTGGAGCATATTTTGGAGAAAGTGCTGGGCAATCAAGGCCGCTGCTCCATCATTCTCGCTAGCTTTCAAGGAGGCGGCTAATCTCGTGGAGCTCTCGGCATCAGCTGCTAAGTCACTGGTTTGTATCAGCTTTTCGGCCTTCCCTTCATGGACGGAAAAGAACTCCAAGAATGATTTCAACACTATGTTTTGCAAATCCGGGTTGTCTTCTTCGAACACCGAAGATAAAGCGAATCTTGCATGTTCCTGACTGTACTGAGCAGGCCAAGTTTGACATACCGAGCCTAAGCTCTCCAATGCCATTATTCGTAGTTCAAGCGGATACTGAGGAAGAGCAAACGGGGCTATGAAGTCGACCATTAAGCCAGCAACAGACGTGGCCTTGGTCGTTGGAAACGACTGCTTGAAAAAATTTAAATATTTTTCCAGATCACAATGTTTTCCAACACAACCAGCGATTCGAATGTAGCTTCTCACCCTCCCTAGAGCATCTGCTTTGGACGAGTTGTCAAATTTTAGAGTTTTCACCTGAGCAATACCTTTGAGAACAGATATGGTAAGCTTCACAAGCCGTTCTGTATTTTGTAGAACTCTGTCAACCGTCCAAAGGCATGCCATGACCTCATTGAGCTCAGTCCTCGCTAGTTTTGAAACACTCTTGAAAAGGTCATTTTGCACTTCCTTGAGGAGGGTGTTATGGGCGTTAGAAAGGTAAGGTAGAACACATCGATATATGACAACCACAGATCGAAAAAGGAGGAGATCATCCGCAGTAGAGAGGTGGCCAATATAGGGATGCAGTGTTTCCAATTGGTCAGGAGTAAAGAGCTTCGCATTCGCTTTGGCAAACACCGTGATAGACTGGAGAAGCGCTTGGATGCTCGGTTTGTTTGGTGAATCTGCATGGTCTATGATTCGCTCAAACATTGTGGCCACAATCGCTTTGCAGACTTTGAAATTTGCGGATGCCGACCTTGTGTCGTCGGAGAGTACGGATTTGACAAATTTTTCAAGCGTGATAACAACTGCATCACTTTTTTCGACGGACCCAACAATAAGATCAACCAATTCTCCCAAGGAGACTTTGGTTTGTGGTGAATCCTGGATCACGTTAATCGGGTGGTGAAATGGACCAAGCCATATTTCTTCCAAGATTTGACGAGCCTGTGCAACAACACTACTTTCAACGTCCGTAATTCGTTGAAGCAGGTTGTCAGCAATGGCGATTTTCAGGTCTTTACGGGATGTTTGGAGATAAATATCCTTCAAGGAGCCAATGCAACGTTTTCGAACACCGACAGTGGGGTCTGCAGAACAGGATAAAATGGTGCGGCAACCGTCCTCTTCAAGCACCGGCCTAAGAGTTATACACTTCGCGATGAGCGAGAGCGCCGAGTCTCGAACCATGGGCGATGAATCAGTAGCGCATTGGAAAATCAGCGTCATCACAGTGTCGTCACGGTCTAGCAGGGTCGGGTCCTTTTCCAACATTTGAATGACGCTCTTCAAGCTTCGACTTCGCACTTTGGCTTGATCGCTAGTAATGGAGTTTAAAAGAACCTTAAAAATTTTATCAAACGCTTTGCAGAATCCCATATTGAGGAGAGTCAAAAGATAGGCGAAGCGAGCATGATGCGTAGCTATACGATCGAATTCACTATATTCAAACATTAGCCTACGTATACATCCTAACCCTAAAGGAGACTCACTTGTGAGATTCTAACCATCTGGGATCAGACAGCATGTTACGTAGGGCCCTCGCCAGATCGTCGGCCGACTCGCCTTCGGATACATTTCCCCTGTTCTCTGGATCGTAATAGAAACTGCACACATTTTTTGCCCAGTGTGCCAGAAAGTAACCTCGAGCGCTAGAAAGCTGCCAGTTTCCGACATCCCTCTCCTCCAGGTACTCAAGAACTATCCGGTATGGTCCATCGACAGACACAACATCTTCTGTATGCAATGATCGATTTAGATGCTCATCAAATAGCTGTCGTA